GGAAATGGCCCTCTTCCTAGGTTTAAACTATTAGTTAAAAAAGCCTTTACAGAATTATTACTTAACCTGCTCAATTTTAACTTGTTTCTAAATAGAGGACACTCCTTGGATTATAAAGCATTCCAGGAACAATGGCAGATCCCATCCGCTGGGCCAGGTACCGTTGGCAGCGACTGATATCTACAGAAGGCAGAGAAGTTAGCAGCAGCAGCAACTCAAGTAGCAAGCACTATCAATCATCAAAAACTGCCAGCAAACACAGGATAGTGATACCCTGTTTGGGACATTTTAAGGAAGAGTATGAAAAGGTATCAAAACTGTACATGAACAACAAAATACGGACTACTAAATATACTTTACTGAATTTTATACCACGGAATTTATTCGAACAATTTCACAGGTAAAGAACTGCTTTTATTTTGATTGTGGAAATTCTGCAGAAATTGAATCCTTTTATTTAAATGTGTGTATTAATATAGACAGATGGGTATTCTAAAATTTATTATCTTTCCCAACCTGCCTATCACTTCTGAAAAGATCTGTATTATTTGACCGAGGATTCTTGAGTATCATCAGTCTTGGGCTAATTCTTTTCTGCATTGCTTTTACCATTTACACTCATTCTACTCTTTGGATTGTTGAAATATTCTTTACTGTTGGAGCATTGCCACCCAGTAATCTGAAGTAGGATTTTCAGCTTGTTTCCTGCAAATATATTTTATCTTCTTCCGTCTCATGCCTTTCTCTGTTGACATTGTGTTTTTTTTCTTCTCCTTGGAGGACAGCAAATTTGTAAAGTTATGCAGGGAAGTTGCAGGACAGCTTACTTTTAAAAATGTGTTGTATATATGTTCACAAAAGCCTCACTAGAAGACACATGCTTGGAGGGCAGGGATGGAAATACAGGAATAATATTGCTTTCTGCACCTTCTTATCGCATATATTAAGCAGCTGTCCAGCCAAATACTCTGTCGACTGGAGAGTGAAAAAATAGTTGTGGATACTTAGTTCTTAAATAATACTTGGCGTAAAGAAATGATAAATTACAGCTAAGTTAAGTCTCAATACAGCATGGAGTGGGGGAATAAGGATTACTGACTGTTAACACAGCTAACTCTCCTGTTTGCTCTTTGTTTCAGAGTTGCCAACTTGTATTTCCTATTTCTAGTTGTTCTAAACTGGGTTCCTCTGGTGGAAGCTTTCCAAAAAGAAATTACAATGCTACCTCTAATAGTGGTTCTGACAATTATTGCAGTGAAGGATGGTCTGGAAGACTACTCAAAATACAAAATGGATAAACAGATAAACAACTTACTAACCAAAGTGTATAGCAGGTAAGAGACAACAGCCTTTCTGGTTTATTGTTACTAAACTGATAATGAGTACATGTAAGAAAAAAAAAAGATAGCTATTCTGGTTTACTTTCTGGATGCTCAGAGAATCATAGAGTAACTTGGGATGAAAGGGGTCTCCTGGAGGTCATCTATATAATCATACCCCCTGCTCAAAGCATGTCTAATTAGGTGAAGTTGCTCAGGGAGTTGTCTAGTTGGGTCTTGATCATCTGCTTAGGTAAATAGATACTAAATTAGTATAAAATTTGCTGGAAAAAGTACTCTGGATGTGGCCAGAGTGTTCATGCATAATTTTGTACTGTTTTAACCAAGGCAGTTTGATTACTATTTTTAATATCTTAAAAATTACTGTAGGGGTCATAGAAATGCAAGAGTTGCTAATTTGCCAATATATTGTTGAAGCTCACTAATGCTATCAGCATTATAATATTTTATTCAAATGCAATAACATTTCCTTTAAAAGAATAAGATCATTTTCGATTTGTGCGTATCACATAGTTTGGTACAGACGTTAGCAGCTCTTCCACAGTGCAGGACTTTAATAGTACAGAATGTAGGTGCAGCTTAGGAGTGGAGTGTGCTCATGGTGAGAGGTTTGCTGTCAGGCATTTATAATGTGTGGACAATAAAATAAAAAAAATGAAATAAAAAAAAAAAAGGAGGTGTCAGGTCATGTTATAAATTAGCACTGGCAAAAAATTGATTGTAGTGCATGTCAGTGGGGCCTACATCCCTCATGTTTTTTCCACACTTGTCATAAAAGGATATTGCAAGACTCACACAAAGCCTGTAAACTACAAAGATAAAGGAAGTGTAGCGGACTCTTCTTGCTCTGTGTTCATGGTGGGGAACAAGTGCATTTGGAAACTCACTTGTTATCTGCTGTAGTAGCTGTCACAACCAACAGCACTGCAGAAGAAAACAGATTTGCAATTAGATATTTTAATGAGAAGGAGCTTGAAATCAATTTTGGCACTACAGCGCCTCTATGTTTGTGCTCTGATGTTAATGAATTTGTAAAAGACACACCTCTTCCTAGTGAAGTCAAAGCACAAATGGAAAATAAACTTTTAAAAAATCTTAATCTGTTAGCTGGTTTTGCCAAGCCCTAGACTTTTTTTCTGCTGTAGACATGACCTTAATAGGCCTATGGAGCAGGATTGCAGTCTATTAATACATAACTATTAAATATATTGTCATATTACTGAGAAGGTGGAATCTTTAGCTTTCTGGTATTTGCTATGTATTTTAAGAGCAAGCTCGTAACCACAGAAAGCATCAGAAAGCAATGTATCCTGGAATGGTTTGGGTTGGAAGAGACCATAAAGACCATGCATAAGCCCACTTCACAAGCCTGTGCACGTTCCCCTGGATGGCATCCCTTCCCTCTGAAGTATCAATCGCACCACTCATCTTGGCATCATCTGCAAACTTGCTGAGGGTGCACTCAGTCCCATGGCCATGTCACTAATGAAAATATTAAACAGTCCTTGTCCTGATACAGACCCCAGAAGTCTTCACACTAATCTCCACGTGGACATTGAGCCACTGAAGAAACAACTTCATGTTCTCCAAACACAAATATTAACCTTGTTGCCCTTATGAGTTCTCAAATCCTTTCCATCACATTTGGAGGGAGAGGTAAAAGAGTGCTGTTGCAGAGTGACCAGGGCATGACCATGCCACTCAGTGTTGTCCACTCTTTGGAATCACTTTGCCTTCTTTGCCGGGAAAATTGGCCTACACAAAAAATTGTGTTGATATAGTTTTCAATACCAGAGGGGTGTTTCTAAGCAGAAAAGGTTATTAGTTTTCAGTTCCCTCAATCTCCTGAATTGATTTACTGTGTCAGCACTTTTGCAGATATAAGAAAGCAATTACAGAGGGAACATAAAACGAGGCTCAGTTTGATCAAAACTTAAGTCATAGCTTCAGTAACTATGAATCACATCCCATTCTACAAGTCTCCCTTCCTTTTTCCTCTTTACTTTTATTCTTAGATTGTTGGGGTTTTGTTTATTTGTTTGTTTGGTTGGTTTTTGTTAATTTACTTTAGAACTCTTTCCTTCTTTTTTTCCTTGTCTTCAAGGCAGTGTATTTGTATGAAAAGTTAATTGAGTGTTTTTGAATGCATCCATCTTCTGATAGTCATGGCTGTAGCTTTAATTAAGTTTTACATGCTTTCTATTGTGCCAGTTTTCAATATGTGTAGAAAATAAGTAATGAGCGTCTTGAGGAGAAGCAGATATTTGGCTTATATTGGTTTAATTTTAAATCGGCTTTTGTTGCTTCCTGGTTTTGCTTTGCTTGCACTTGGAAAACAATATGCCAACCTCCACCTTATCTTCACTAGAGATATTGTAATCAATATACTGGTTGATTATGTGGACTTTGTATCATCGCTTTGTAGAAAAGCATTTTGAAAGGATACTGTCAGATAGTGCAGGTCTGAAACGTATGGATGCAAAGCTTGACATAGGGAATATTTTACTGATACTTTCTCTGTTATTAGAAGGGTCAGAAGCATTTTACATAGCTAGCACTTTGATTAAAGTTGGTAGATCAGTGCCAGTCCATAAGAAATTGCCGTATTACGCAGCTTGTTAGCTTATGTCTGTACCATGGAAGCTAGGTGCACATCCCAGCTCCCTGGTGTGACTGTACTTCTCAGCTAGGTAGGTCAGAATGAGATTCAGGAAAGGAAGCACAACCTGAAAGACAGCCCTGGCACAGCTTGGACTATTCTCCAGTCTGGTTGACTGATAAACTGTGGAGAACATGCTCCTCCCTTTAAACATAGCTCTAGGGTTAGTCTGAGGGGCCTGAAGTCTTTCTGACTTCTCTGAGTGTGATAGGGTCTTCGTACCTTATGTTCAAAAACAATAGAAAAAGTATATATATTTATATATATAAATATATATAAAAACCTATAAATAAAAATATTTATGTTCAGAGCATTAGTGAAGTGGTTGCTGAATATCCTTTGTTTACTGATAAATATTGGAATAATTAAAATACAGGAAGCAAGTGGGCTGAATTTTGAATAGAGCTAAAATAATTCTGGGAGGGGGACTGGAATTAATTCCCAGCAAAACAGGGGTGGGACCTCAGAGCTGAGTCTTTGTAATTATATTCTCCTTGACCTGATAGACCATCTCATCAGAGTTTTTAATGACTTGGAAGCGTAATTTAACAATGAGAGTCATTTTCTCTGAGCTTTCAGTTAGAGTTGATGAAAACAATTAATTAATTAAAATTTGATATGCATTTCAGGAAAGAGAAGAAATACATAGATGAATGCTGGAAAAATGTCAATGTTGGGGACTTCATCCGTCTTTCACGTAATGAAATCATTCCTGCTGACATGGTGCTGTTATATTCTAGTGACTTGGATGGGATCTGTTACATTGAAACTGCAAGCCTTGATGGAGAAACCAATCTAAAGCAGAGGCAGGTGGTGAGAGGATATTCAGAGCAGGTGATAATTGTGCATTTCTAGTGGCTTAAGCAAGTTGACATGACAGACAGCCAACTAAACAAAACAGCCCTCTAGATTGTATAGTGCTCATCAATCCCCATCTGAAAACAAAATAAGCAGGTAACATAGTTTTAATTTGTTGGTTGAGTTATTTGGAGCAAATATTTGTCTGCTCACTTATTCCAGAGAAAGAGGGCCCAATTTCAAGTGATGCAAGACAGTAAAAAAAACTATTCTGGTAAATGTCAAGTAGTCATTTATGGTGTATGTCATTTAATGGATGTGAAATTAGAACTTTTTGGAAGGGGGTTCTGTGCCACATAAAGACCTACAGAGAAGGATGGGTATATTCTTTTTTACTGTATTTCCAAATGTATTTTTAGCTTCAGTCCTAGTCTTTCTAGGATTTATAAAACCTTCGGAACTCTTCTAATTTTTCTGCTACAAGCCTACTGTGAACAGCATTGACTAGCTCATCTCTCCCTTTCAAGACTGAGCATCACCAACTCTTAGAGTTTCTACAGACCATGTAGTGATGAGAAATTAGTTGATATGTGCTTTTTTGCCTTTTTTAAAGTTTTGGCAATTTAGAATAGCATTATTTATTTATTTATTTTTCTGGAAATGCTTCATTGACAATAGGAAAGAAATCGGGAAGATAACCCAAGGGGCGTCATAGGTAACAGCTGGTAGGTAACAAGGCACAGAAGAGTGTCTCCAAGGATCTTGGCTTTCCTAGAGAAATACACAAAACAACTGAGGACCTGTTCCCTAAGGATAATGAGTTATTTAGTGAACAAACAGACATTGCTCTGTTGTATTCAGTGCACTCAAATGTTGCTTCTTAATGCTTTAAGAAGGGATTAATCTCCATTTTCCTCCACACCTTGTATGGTTAGGTGAACCATGCGCAGATTCACTGGGGTGAGGAAGCTAATCTGTTAAATCACTGTGAGCAGTGAGTGTTTCCTCTTATGTTGTAAGAGAGGTCACAGGACTTCACTGTTTGGTTCCTTCTTACATGTTCAATGACTGAACCCAGTCCTAGCAGCATCCTCATAGCTAATGGAGAGGAAAGTGCTGTCCTTTTCTTCTAGGCAGCCTAAGAAAGCCAAGTTGATAAAAGGACTTGCCAGTTCTCCTTTTTTACCTTAGTTATACACCACATTCCTGTGCTGTATTGTAAAGCCATACAGTTTGTCAGGAGTACTTCACAGCCAAAGCAGCAAACCTAGCCTTGGGAAGCTGCCTTTCTCCTTTTTCCGGTGAGACAGTCTATTGCAGGGACATTCATTTAAAGCTACCTTACTCAGTTCTTGTCTTTATTGGCCCCTTTCTTTTTGATGCTGCTTTATGGACCTTTATGCAAAATCAAAGTAACATTTCTTCTGCCATAAAAAGGCTTCTCTTTTGTGCCAGGAAGCATAAGAAAGTGTCTCATGAAGTAAGGCACAACATTTTCTACTTGCGCTAGTTGATGAAAAGATTATAATGAACAAATATAGACCATACTTTTCTTATAGTCTGGGAAGATTTGAGTGCCCATACCAATATGTCTCCTTTTGAGTGTAGTTTTATTCACCTCTGTTTTATACTGGCAGAGTGTAGGCATAAATCCAGTGCCATCTATAAGTTACGCCCTGAGGTTCTAGGGTTGCTGTTTCATGGTATATTGCAAGAAGCTGCTACCAGCAACTTCGCTGGTATTAAGAATTGTTTGACCTCCCCCTCTCCACAAAAAAAAAAAAACAAAAAACAAAAAACTGTTGTAACATACTACAGAAATTTTGTATTTCCTGTACAGATAAACATAAGAAAGATCAGTGAAGACAGAGTGATCTTTCATAGATAATAATAAAATTTACAGAGTCTCTAGGTATCTGTCTAAGGCTACATTCATACTGATTTTCCTGACAGTGCAGGAAATCAATACAGGAAAATATAGCAGAATTCTTGAATCAAAACAACAAAGTATATGCTAACAACAATGTCTTCTGAGTTTCAAATTCAACTTAGGAGGTTGGGTCTCTTCCTCACAGTTGTTATTGTCCCAGTGTGAAATCACCCAGCTGTGGAGGTGGAGTCATTTCAGAGACCTGTAACTATGTAGAAGATGTTTTCAATTAAACAATTAAAGTCTGAATTACAGACTTTTCCTTGGAGTTTGGCACCTTAAAATTGGTCATTCTTTTTTTCTAAAGAGCAGAAGCAATGAATTCCCAAAGAGTCAGTGGAAGGTACTCAGCTTGGAAACAACTTTGTTACACTAGAGGCTAGATTTCCATGTGTCCTGACTGTACTCATAGTCCATTAATTACAAGTGCAATTGCAGGTAATTTTGAAGACCTGGTCTTTTGGTTTTTCACTCATTTCTTGACAGGTTACATTATTAATAAGAAAATGTGTGTCATTTGGCCTTTCTCTTCACTGAAGAGCTCACCTGCTTTTCATTCACAGCATAAGCTTCTAGTCTTCCATAACAGCCCTTTCTTCAGTTCTGGTAAGGTTTAATCATCATTAAGAAGTTCTACCTGCTTTTTTGTGTTAGTACAGGTAGCGTCCTAGTCATGTTATCAGAAGCAGCAGCTCTTCGGAATCAATTCTTAGAAGACAGTGACTTTTTCTTCATCATGGAAAAAAAAAAGTGGAAATCTCTGCTTTTCAGATGTTCTTAGTGCATTTTTTTTGCTGCTTCCTCACTCTTCCACCCATTTCCTTCTCTGTGGTGTTCCTAAGATATCAGCATCTCAGCTGATACTTGCCAGGGTTTGACATTTGCTAGAAAGACTTTCTATGCTGCTTAAGTCTGATATACCTGGGTTGCAGATCATTCATATCATCAGCAACTTAAAATATAGAAAATAAACTGTTAGATGGTGATATCTGAACCTGTGAATTCTAAGTTCCATCATATGTGGTCTGAGTTCTCTTTTTTTTTTTTTTTCTCCAATAACTTTAGGTCTCTGAAATTGATCCAGAAAAATTTTCCAGTAGAATTGAATGTGAAAGTCCAAACAATGACCTCAGTCGCTTCCGAGGCTTTGTGTAAGTAGGCTTGGTGGCTCTTTAAACAAATGTCATTTGCTTTGGTGCTCTCACTAATTTTCAGAAAACTTGTAATGTTTACTTCAAAAAATAATGACAATATGCATAGAAGTCTGTTTGCACCACTACATTTCTGAGTGCAGCCCAGCAGGCACTGCTCCAGTAGGGCTCTGAACAGCTGATTGTAAACTGGAAAAAAACACTAGTGCTTTCTATTTCATATTAAATATTGTCAACATCTTAGTTCAGGCTGTTTTGCAGTTCTGTATTCCATATTTGAAATGTCTGTCCTAAGTCTGCTTTTAATGACATGTCATATCTGTACAGTATTCAGTCTAGACTGTGGCCTGACTGGCCAAGCTTCTTTGCTCAGGATTGGAAATGAGAAGAACTGGCTTCCTCTCCTACTGCGATGTGTTTTGTGTAATCCCCAGTCATTTGATCAAATTCCTTTTGAGCAGTATTGCCATATGTCTCTTCTCTTCTCATAGGTCTGTGATTTTTTGTGTAGGCAGTAGGAAAACAATTGTATTCCATGGAATGTCTGATTTGCAGTTTTTGAGAGGTATAATGTCTACATTTTTCCCCATGGGCAATTAAATGTTAGAAATATGAAAAGAAAAAGAGCTATATAAAAATCTTAGTCTGTGAGGAAAAACCTTGACAAAAAGTGGGCATACCTGCATTGGAAATCTGCCACAGGGGTTATAATGCTCACAACACTTTTAAAATGGGATTTCAAATTTTGTTTGATTTTTTTTCTCACGTTGGTAATTCAAATAGAAGTTATTTGCTTTCAGACTTAGTGTTTGTCCCATGGTCATTTCAGCAGTGTTGCCTACTTCCCATATGCTATCTGGCAAATGCCAGGCTTGAAAAAACATGGAAATTTTAATACAGTGCTTACATACTTAGATTTTCAAAGGTGATCTGAATTCATGTTACCCACTTCTTTTGTCCAATGAGAAGTGTGGGAAAGGTAGTCAGTGACTAGTCAATTCTCCAGGTGATCTGCTCCCTAATGCTTTTTCAAAACCTGACTGGTAATTGCTGGAGTCCTACAGATGGAGTAATGAAAAATGTGCTTTTTTTTTTTTTTCCAGTGAACATTCAAACAAGGATAGAGTGGGCCTCAGCAAGGAGAACTTACTGCTCCGAGGATGCACAGTAAGAAACACAGAGGCTGTTGTAGGCATTGTGGTATATGCAGGTGAGTGACCACCCTTGCTTTCACATACTGCAGTGCAAACAAGATGGAATTATGTGCCTTAAGAAATAGCATCGCACAAAGGCAAGGTAGCAGATTGAAAGCATGGATCCAGCAGAAGGCAACTGTAGCTAGAAGCATTTAAGAATGCATGTCTGAAATAAGTTTGTTTCTATTTTAAAAATGCAAAGGCTGATACATCTGATTATTCATGGGAGGCAAGCTCTGTTTCATGTCCTTGTCCTCAACTGTTAACTGCAATGGCAAATCCAGGTTTTGAAATGGACATGCAGATACTTGCCTTTCTTGGGATTTTTACTGGTCCAAAATTGAAGTTAATGCTGTTCTTTAATACTCCATATCGAAGGGAAGATGTTTTATGACTAGACAATGTGATTTACTCTGCTAGATAATAGTGATGCAGGTGCAGAGTTTCATGGAAAATATTAGAAATAGTATAGAAATTTTCAAGAATAGGTTTGTTTCTCTAGGAAGGAATATTATTGACAGTATAAAGGATAACATAGCTGAGAAATTTTGGTTTAGCTTGTTCAGTTTTCTTTAGGGTGGAAGTATTGTAGGACAGAATTACTGTAGGATCAGTTAGTTGAGTCATATTTATAACCTCTTTTCACATATTAGTTAACAGAAATGTCCAGTTTCCCAGAGCTTTAGAGATATAAAGGAATTTTGGTTCTAATACCTGCAAACAGAGAATTTCAACGTTTGTTGTGGTTACAGGTCATGAAACCAAAGCCATGCTGAATAACAGTGGACCTCATTACAAGCGCAGTAAATTGGAAAGAAAAGTGAATTCTGATATTCTTTGGTGTGTTCTGCTTCTAATTTTAATGTGTTTAACTGGTGCAGTAGGTAAGTGAGAATCTGCAGCATCCTGCTATTTTCCCCTCTCAGCCTACAATGCTAAGTGTTTTATTTTGGGGCTGTTTCATTTTAATAGCCCATTTCAGAAACTGCCTTCACCTATATCTAATTCTGCATCAGCTGGGGATGCTGCCAAGCTTTAGTTCATGTTGTCATGTTTAATCTGGAGTATGGTCAAGTGGTATGTTCCTTGTGTTAGGTCTGGAACCCGTTTCTCCAATTTGTTTTCTTCTTTTGCTCATTAATTGTTCTGTAAAACTCATACTTTGTGTTAGGATTGCTCAGGTAAAATGAGATGCATGTACAGTATTGCAGGGAGAGGCTGAGTTTGAGTAGTTATAAGGATTTGTATTTTATGTATTCATTAAACAGTGAGCTTGAGTGCTGACATTTGAACAGACTAAATTTTATGATAAATCAAAAAGGTGTTTAAAAAAAAATCAGGCTACACTTAATAAACATGTCTGGCATCTCAAAACGTGTTAGATGAAGTTGCTTTTATAGCTGAGTTTTGAGTTTCTTATCATAAACTAAGCTTGTGATCTCTTCTGGGTAAGTTTTTATCTCCCAAGGCTATAAACTGGACGGAGTGGCTTGATGACATGCTTTTCAGAGGTTAACTGAAACCTGAACAAGCTAAGATGAGACATGTAATTGTTAGGGTATTTAAAAAAAAGTTTGTGAACTATAGTTAGTATTTTCTGAGTTCTGGGACATACTGTATAAATGTGCTATTGACACCAAGGAAGTAAAGACTTTATTCTTGTGTGCGCTTAATTCATTTTAATGAGGTTCCTGTTGAGAAAAAAAGGAAGAGAGAAAATAGTAGTTTAGAAGCTTAGAAAGAACTGCAGAGTATAACAGCTAACACCATGACCCTGAACTGTGGTGCAGTCTACATAACTGATTCACATTATTTTGTTCTTGTTTTCAAGGCCATGGAATTTGGTTAAGTAGGTACTCAGAAATACCTTTTTTTAACATCCCTGATCCAGATGGGAAATCGATTCCTCCAGCATTAGCAGGGTTCAACATGTTCTGGACAATGATCATTTTATTACAGGTAACTTTTGGCTTTTAGCATGGGCCATATCCTGATCTCACATATATCCTTGAAGTAACTCTCTGGCTTCCATGGAATTACTTCATGTTTGTAACTAGCCAAAGAAGTTGCTTTCGTTTAATCCCCGTGTTTTGTTTTGGTAGGTCTTGATCCCAATTTCTCTCTATGTTTCAATTGAGATTGTCAAGTTGGGACAAATTTATTTAATACAGAATGACATTGATTTTTACCATGAGAAAACGGACTCTACAATTCAGTGTCGATCACTGAATATTGCTGAAGACCTTGGCCAAATTCAGTATATCTTCTCTGATAAGACTGGAACACTCACTGAAAATAAGATGGTTTTTCGGCGATGCAGCATTGCGGGACAGGAGTATTGCCATGAGGAAAATGGTAAGATATTAAACCCATGTTCATGACATGTCCTTTTTCTGTTCTCAGAGAAGCTAAAAGTTTTCACAAGGTCAGGTTTTTATGAAATTTGTGTGGCAGTATGCATTCATAGAAGGAGTGAATTTAGACAGGTCCTACTTGCATCTTTCCCCATGGTTTGGATCATTTCATATACAGTGTTCTAAGAGGCATGAAGGCATATGTAAGCTGCTGCTTTGCAGATAGCTACTTTTTAGCATATTTGATACCACAAAAACAAATGCTCCTTACTTGATCTAGAGAAAGTCATTCCAATGGCATTTTGGTTCTCTTCTTGCAATGTTCGGAAACAGACCACTGGAAAAGTGCCCATCTAGACTTTCCTCTTTCTTTTAAACAAGAATGCCAGTGCTTGACCAATATTTTAGGGTTCAAACATCCTGTTCAGTGCTATAGCAGTGTACCACCTTTATGTATTATATTTTAAAGCTCTGGTTTAACATGCTCTTTACTTTGAGGGTACAGTAACCCAAGTACATGTAAATACATGCTGAAGTCGAAACTTTAACAATAATATTAAAGTACAAGTTAAGCAGATGTGTGTGTATGTGCATGTTAAGGCTACAAAAGTAAGTACCTCCATCAAAAATATGAATGTTGTATTCTTACTTAGATTTTTAAAATCCTGTTTTAGCTCAAAAGTCAAAAAGCAGCATTAATGGATAGTTGCTGCCTCATTGTCTAATATCTTAATATCCCTCAATACATGTTTCATGGAAGCCTACTTTTTTTTGAAGCTTTCTGGGAGCCAGGAGAATATTCAACTCCAGACACAGGAGAAAGCTATGCAGAGTTACATAAAGTATTTTATTCAATTACATGTTTTATTAACGAGACAAAAACACAGATTTTACTACCATTACTGTATGTAAGTATTAGTGACTGCAGACATGTCCTCTTTCACGGGTGGGTAATGCAAGGATCCTTTATGAGATCAAAAATGAAGTGCTGACAGGTGGGCTCATGAATCACAACTGTGTATTAACCTTCCCCCTGTGGTTTTGTTGGTTTTGCTGCCAGATGGAACTGCTCACTTTCTGCAAGCAAAAGGCACACCCTGCTGGCCACCACAGTGAATCACTTCAGTCCTTCTTTTGTTCATTGTCACAGGAACAGATGATTACAAACCATTTTAATAATTTCCTCATGTATTTTGAAAATGACATGGTGTGGTTGTCCTGATGCTTCTTTGGCTTTGCATAATTATACTGGGAGGGATGACAAGAGCAAAGTGAGAAGAAAAGTCCTTAAGTTTCAAACTTGGTGAATGAATAACTTAAATAAAAAAAGTATATTTTCAGAGCATTTCCTAAAGGAACAGAAAGTGTTTCAGAAGAGATAAATCAAAGACTAGTGAGAATGATTTAGCTGTGGCTGATGTAGGTCTCATTGTGCCATGGGAAATATGTCTACCAAAAACTTCCCCTAGGAGTTGACTTCAGTTATCTTCCAAAAATACCAGTGTGTTTATAATTATGTTCATAATTATTTCCTGTTGTACCTTGGCTTTTACCTGGAAATGAAGCATGTGCTTCTTCCTAACCAGTCTAGAAATTATGTGCCCTGAGAATCATTCTGCAAAATGTTGGAGGTCCTGCATTTAGCTCTGATCCACACTTGTTTGGTTGCACAAAGCTGCCGTTTGCAAGGCTCCTTTTACATGCGGTAAGAGTTGCACTACACGACAGTTCAGCCTTTAGCATACAAATCACTTAGTCTGTAGAAATATTTCTGTGTTTATATCTGTGTTGTCCAGGATAAAGGAATGCACATGAGGGAAGCACACAACAGCGATGACTATGATGTGGTATAATCTTCCATATAGGTGCCCACGTGCGATGTTCCATCTAAAGTAACACATGCCTTTAGACCTTGGCAGCAGAGCAGTGTGATGTTATAAGCAGTGCCACATTTGTTGCTTCAGACAGAAGTGCACGCTTCTCTGGGAGTATAAGTGGATGCGTGGTGTCCAAACCTGTCCGTACAGACGTGTTGTTACCATTCTTTTTGAACTTTTTTTAATGTGTCTTCAGGACTTCCAGTCATGGCCAATTCGTTACTTTCTCAGGCATTCTGTTCGATTGTTTCACGTCCCTAACAAAGTTTTACTGCTGTCTAATCTGAGTTTGTCTTGCCATAATTTAGGCCCATTGTGTCTTCTGTTGCTCACAGTATGCACAGAAGAAAAGCTATTTCCTTTCTCTGTGCAATTGCAATGGTGGATTATTCTCAGCTATGTACTAAATGGCTTATTTTAAAATCAAGTTTTATTTAAGGAGTCTCCAGACAGTGTTTTAGACAAATTCCTTTTTGCTCATGGAACAATGATTTTCTTTCTATTTCGATAGCAAAGAGGTTGGAGTCTTATCAAGAGATGGATTCAGAAGATGAGGATTCAGCTGATGCCCAGTATGCTTCCTTGAACCATATGTCAAAAAGAAGGGGTCACAGCTACAGAGCTGTGAATGAATCTTTGAACAAAAAGTCTTTGGATCAGTTACCTGGTAGTTACCCTGCGGCAGGAAGGGAAAATTCAGCAAGTGATGTTCCCCATGCAGGACATGTTGCTTTCAGCAGCCGCATTGTAAGTAAAAGTTGTTGGTTTTGATACTAAATTTCTGAAGAAACTCATGAAGGAACATTTTTTTACCTCTGTTTGAACAAAGTCCTTGTCATATAGGGGATCCTTTATCTTCCATCAAAATGAGAGCTCCAGTGATTGCTTGGCTGCGATCCCCTGTTTACAGCTGACATTGCAGATGTTCATTGGGTTACAAAGATGTATGCTTTGATTCTTGTTGGTGTGATTCCATGATCACGCCAGCTAAAATGACCGGTTTCATCTTCAATAACAGTTTGTTCTTTTGCCTTAAGAAGTTTCAGGATTTTGTTTTGATTTTAATAAGAAATATCTAGATAACCAATACTTATCCCATTGTACTTAATGGAAATTACCAGGAGTAAAAACTCTGCTTCTTTACCTGAAGGTGTTTAAATAGCATTGGTCTTACTTAATCTCTGTTGAAGTGCCTGTGAAGTAGATCTCTACTGATTATTGTCCAGGCCTGTAGTTTGCTATTTGCAACAAATGGCACAAGGCAGTGAAAAGGTCGGAGTGTTGCTTTATTTCCTAGTATAATCAACTCAGCACCTGACAGGAATGGCTCTTTACTTAGGAAGGAAGTTGTATGAGCATCTAAGCTTCATTTGCCCTTAACTGATTTTATCTCCAGACACTGAGATTATTTCAAAGCTTCTACCATTGGTTTCTTGAATCAGCTGTCATTAGTGTCTGGGGAATGGGGAATGATTATTTTCTTCTGATATAGCATTTTTTAAATAAGTCTAGAAAAAAATTACAACACTGAAATTGTATGTGCAAGAATCATTTGGGACTTCCAGGGTTTATATCCTAATTGACAGTTTTGTTTAATCAATAGGAAACGGATGTTGTACCAGACACACAGCTGCTGGAGAAGTTCAGTCAGATTTCTTCTCATTCCTATCAACAATCAGAAGATGCCATCAGCAAGTTATCTTTGGAGACAGTGTACATCATTGACTTCTTTATTGCTCTGGCAATCTGTAATACTGTTGTAGTTTCAGTCCCCAATCAGCCACGTCAGAAGGTAAGAAAGTATATTCATCTGTATGGGCATGTTTTTAAGGAAACGAGTTCCCTTTTGGTTGATTACAAAAGAAAAAAAAAAAAACACTTAACTGGCATTTAAATGCTGGCAAGTTTCTTCCAATGCAGAAAAACTTAGATTGAGTATTTTTCTTCTGTATATAGATTGTAGAATCCTAGAATGGTTTGGGTTGGAAGAGACCTTAAAGACCATCCAGTTACAACCCCTAACACGGGCAGGGACACCTCCCACTAGATCAGGTTGTTCAAAGTCACATCCAGCACGGCCTTGAACACTTCCAGGGATGGGGTATCCACAGTTCCTCTGGGCAACCTGTTCCAGTGCCTCACCACCCTCTGAGTGAGTTACTTATATCCAATCTGAATCTACCCTCGTAATTCAAAACCACTACCCCTTGTCCTATGACTACACTCCCTAATAAAGGGTTACTCCTATCTTTCCTGTAGGCTCCCTTTAGGTACTGGAAGGCTGGAATAAGGTCTCCTTGGAGTTTTCTCTGGGTTGAACAATCCCAGCTCTCTCAGCCCCCCTTCATAGGAGAGGTGCTGCATCCCTTGCATCATCCTCATGGCCCTCCTCTGGACTGGCTAAACTTTTTAAATGATACCAGTGTGGCTAGAGCACTTGCAGTGAAGGTTGAGGCAAAAAAAAAGTTGTTGAATACCTCAGCCTTCTGATATATATATGTATATATAAGTATATATATATACATACATAAATACATATATATCAGATATAATGATGTCTGTTGACTTCGTCTTTTGAAAAAAAATAAACCTGTGGCATATGCAGAACTAGATTTTGGTGTCCTTGTAGGTAGTCAACCTACACTTATGGCTAGAGATTTTTTCAAAATGTGTAGAAATAAGTACCACATATGTATAAAGAAGCCTAGTATTTCCAGACAAGTCAGCATAGTGGGCAGCCTACAGGTGCATGTGTGGATGGGGCAGCTATGTTAAAAATGTACTACCCAATCTGCATTTAAGAGTGGTGTAGAAGGCTGTACAGGTGAGATTTTCATATTTTTTTTTTTAGAATAAAATGTCTGGATGACTTGTTAGCAGGGGAAAAGATCTCCAAGTCGTAGCTGGACTGGGAGAAGCAATATGGCACAAGGTTTGAGTTCACGGTTAGGGAATGAAAAAGACAAAGCTCAAGAGAACAAAAGTTTTCAGTGTTCCCTGAGGGAGAGGCGATGAAAGGATGTTCCTAGTCTCTGCCCCCATGATGCTGAATAGAGACACGCTACAACTTGCATGCAGCTGAGGGAGAATTGAAGCCAGTCTTTCATTTCTTGATCCATTTCAGTGGCAAAGGATAACGTGCTTCTTGGTGATAACTCATTCATAGCCCTTCAACAGTAATGAGACATGAATGTCAGCCATGCACACTTTGTTCCTCATTTGTAAGCTATTAGTGGCCAAAGTGCTTTGCATAACAGTAAACCCATTATTTTGTAACACTGATTGAGGGCAACTGGCTTTTTTAAATTCAGACATGAACAAAAAAAAAAAGTATTGGTAAGGTACTGTATTTTAACATTATTTGTAGCTAGCTACTGTGAGGACTATGGAGTTGGTTTATTCTTCACAACTATCTTTCCAACTCAGAACAAGGATTAAAGTGTTTAGTTCCATTTGCCACAACTTTTAAAAGTTATAATGTCATACTGCCTGTTCCATTACTTAAGCATTTTTAAAGAGAAGTATTACATGGAATCAGACTTGGAATACACACAGTTTTCAGATCTGAAGTATTTCTACAGTAAAGTGGTTTGAATAGGCGAAGCTCATACAGAACCTATTTTCTCTACTTATGTTGGTAATATGTTTAATTGATCTAGCCATTTTTAATATAAGCAATCAAAATAATCCTAAATTTTAAATCACATTTGTTAAGAAATATATATACATTTATTACAAACTATGTGTTTTTTTAAAAAAAATGTTCTTTAATGAAATAACATGTGACGAATTTAAGATGTATAATTTCTCTTTTCTGTTCCAGATGAGACACTCTTCACTGGGTAGGATGCCTATTAAATCCCTTGAGGAAATCAGGCAGATGTTCCAGCGGTTGTCAGTCCGGAGACTAAGTTCCTCCCCACTTCCAAGCATAAAAGAGTCATCATCTGAAAGCCCAAATAGCTTTGTGAGCAAACTGTCTATTTTCAGAATGAAACTTGCTTCACCTGCTTTGGATGGAGCTGCTCAAAGGGCTGCTGAGCCTCTCAACCCTGACAGCCCAGAAAATCCCCAACTACCCGAAGAACTAGATATGGTGAAAGTAGCTGCAGGCAGCGAACACCATAGTGCTGGGTCATCTATGAAAGGGTCATCTCCCTTACCTAAACTGTGTTATGAAGCTGAGAGTCCAGATGAAGCTGCCTTAGTTCATGCTGCAAGGGCTTATAGATGTGTTTTACAGTCTAGGACTCCTGATCAAGTAACTGTGGACTTCACAGGTCTGGGATCTTTAACATTTCAACTCTTGCATATCCTGCCTTTTGACTCAGTGCGAAAAAGGATGTCAGTGGTGGTTCGGCACCCAGTCTCCAACAAAGTGGTGGTTTACACAAAAGGTGCAGACTCAGTCATGATGGACTTGTTGGGAACTGCATCTCAAGGTATTTGTAGAACTTTTAATTCTTTGCTCACCTTTGTCATTCTTCAGAACAGTTGAAGAGTCTTGAATTTTTAACTGAAGGTACTATAGCAAAAGTATTTCATGTGTATATAAGAAACATGTGCCTACATATATTTAAGCTCAGGAGCTGTTCCAAGGGATTTCTTAATGTTTGGAAAATGATAAAATTCCATCTTTAAAGGTTCACAGTCTGCAGGAGGGAATTTGGTTTCTGTGTTCCATGGCATATCTTAGTGAGGAAGAGGAATGTTCCCATTCCAAGAGCATATTTTAACTAATCCATTATAAAGTCTAGACAAAAAGCCTCTGCAGTCCACAGGGTGAAAAAGTACTTCCAAAGTCTATGTTGTCTTATTAGGAGCATAATTTCACATCTGGAGCTATTCTTCCTTACTTTGACTTTCAAGGTAAACTTGGAATCTAACTCTTGCATGTCCACAGTTAAATGAGTCAAATGCCTCTCTGAACAGTCCACTTGATAATGGATATTTTTTAAAAAGCCTCTCCATGGCTACCCTTTTATCTCCCTCCCACTGAATATATTTATATATTAAATATAAATATATTTAGCTCCCTCCCATTGAATATATAGCTGCTTTGCTGTCTGTGGCCCAGTTCATTTTAGAAAATCGTTTTATTTTAGAAAAATGTTTTGATATGCTAGTGTGTACAAAGACATATCAGTAACAGACTGGTTCCCCTTAGTGCTTGTGCAGATAGGCACACTGCCTCTTGCTAAAGATACAGTCACAGTACATCGTAACATTTCTATATTTTTAAATCATATTTAGACCTTCAAAATTTTCTAATAAATTTAGTTTAGAAATACAAATTTAATTTGCTTTCTTTGCTTTTTTTTTCTTTTTTTAATAATCGTAGGCACTAAGAATTCAGAAATGGAACAAAAGAAGATTAAAGAGAGAACTCAGAAGCATTTGGATGACTATGCCAGAAGGGGACTGCGCACTCTTTGTATTGCTAAAAAGGTATTGACTTTTTCTTATGTGTTTGCAAGAATGTTTGTTTACAGTCCATGACCAACAGGAGTGGCAGCACCAATGGAGCAGATATCACAACTTCTGAACAGATGCTCCCATTGCCACATTTCATTTATCCTGAAATTCTTTTAGCAGGAATTTTTAAGTTGACACAAATCAATTCGTTCAGTTAGGTTGGCATTGCTGTTGTCAGTTTGAGATGTCAGATAGCTTAATGGTCTAATTCTAACACTGAGGGTGGAAGGTGACTTGATTTTTTACATGAGTCCTGAGCGGGTCTCCTCATATGAAACTTGTCCTGGTTGGAATTTTTTTGCAGACACAGAAAACAAATTAAGTCAAGCCTGTTTGGGTTTCACACAGTTTGTAGTGTTAAAAGATCTGGATGCAAAACCATGTGATGTTTTGAGATTCCATTTTAAATTAAAGCTGCTCAGAAATAAAAATCCATAGGAGTTGAAAGAGGCAGCAAAACTCTTTACAAACCCTCACGCAAAGTGGAAGCACAGGCTGTGTAGCTGTACAGGCTGTATATAGTTGTGCAGTGATTCTGTGGCTGTGTCAGTGAGGCAATTAAAGAACATAGAGAGTATACTGTGATCCTTAGCCTCCCTGCCTTCCATCTAAATGGAAATATATCAGGCAGCTCCAGCTGCCGGCAAGCTTCTGGTAAGCAACCTGACCTGTGAAGCCTGGCAAAGTAATCGAAAACCATGAATATCATCCTGTCTGTGGGCACCCTGGGGCACACATATACTGTTGGGCTGCCTGGCTAGGTTTAGTATGTGGACAGCAGAGGTGGCTCTGAGGATATTTTGCAGGCACATTTGAAAATGAAATGTAGGTACATCCTGTGTGTTTTCTTTCCCTCTGTAGGTGATGAGCGATGAGGAATATACAGAGTGGTTAAATCATCATTTTCTAGCAGAAACCAGCATTGAGAATAGGGAGGAGCTGCTGCTTGAATCTGCCATCAGGCTTGAGACCAAACTAACTTTGCTTGGTAAGTAGAAAATGCTGTAATTCACAGGAAACTCCTTATGATGGTTATAATCTGAGTTTACCTGCAGAGAGTTGTATGAACCTCAGTTTGTGTAATACGTAGCTTTCTACGGATCCTGAATTTATTGTCACTACTGAATTTTCATAAATCTTGCTGGTAAGTTCATTTGAGTTGCAAAACCAGCTGAAGGCAGCTGTTGATCTTCTATTATTTATAAAGGATAATGCTTTGCTGATTGTTTTATTATTCTTTTTTTCTCCTGTGCTCACTAGACTTTCTAAGTGTCATCATCATAAGCATGTGAAATAGTAGTAAAAAAAAAAACAGGCTTGACAGGGTAAACGCAGGGATCGCACTTCTGGGCATGTTTTTTATCATTGCATATCTACCATGCCCTAAATTAAAGATAGTGAAACTGTCTTCTGTTGGATTAAGAGATCGAGTACCTCAGAAAGGGAGCATTAAGTATACAGAGTGCCCAAGTTGAAACCACTACTTTTTTTCCTCTTCCTTTGATGTCTGACAGTGTCTGTCAGAGGAGCTTGCATCTTCCTTCCTGCCTCTTGTGTTGACTTCTGACTTGCATCAAAATAAAAGGAGAGTGCAGAGCAAGGAGCTGGAGATTTTCATTTCCCAGGTGGCCAGCGGGCATGAGCTCTATGCCCTTGTTGGCAGTTACCTATTAAAGAAATTGCTATAACATCAGAAGTCTGCCTGACCTTTTGGCCCTTAGCCATCCCATGTGACAGTCAGCACTTGATATACTAGTTGCTCACCAGAATCCTTCACTAGAAACACGGTTGGAGGGGAAGCTTTGCTGAGAGGTTTTTTTTTTTATTGTTTGTCTTTCAGAATGAACCTAGCTATAACTGGCTGAAGTTTCTTTCTGAGAAACTCTCTTAGCTTGAGTATCCCTCAAGCCACACCATGTCTTCTGGTTATGATTTTGTACTGAAAATGTCCTGTACCGTATCATAGGCATCGCTGCTTTTCAGAGATGGTTTTGCTTTATGCTGATGTCATGTTACCTTATTGGTAACAGAACAGAAGATTTTTTAAGCTCATTTTAGGGATGCAATTCTGCATACTGTGCACAGCAGAGAAGAGGATATCACTATTAAACATATTTTTGTCAGCAGTCTTTCTATAAGTGCTAAGACACAGCACAGTACAGTTTTACATATTGTCAACTGCAAAGCTGATCCAAGATTCCATTCTCCACTTGTTTTTTTGTCTTCCTCTGCATTGTTTTTTGAGGGGTGAGTTTGTCAGTTTGTTTTTGCCCTTAGACACATATCCATTTTATGTACTAGGAGACATGTCTGGGAGAATATTTTGCCAAGAGCTATTCACCAGGCTTATAAAATCCCTGCCAGAGCTGGGAACCTGGGAGGAGAACCAAGGTATAGGCAACTTGTCCTCTTCAAAGTGGGGCTTAACATAGGAAGGATAAAGATCATAGGTGAAAGAAAGTTTTATGTAGTCTGAAGCTGGAGGGAGTGGGAATAACGGAGTATATCTGTCAGGAGAAGCCTGGGAGTCTGCATCCCACAGCCACTGTGGGTTGAAACAACCATGAGAATGAGAAAAATTTTATTTAGAGGGTCTTGTGAGGAGCTGGAGGCCACTGAGTATGTACAGTGGGTGTGTGTCAACAAGCTTGCGTGTGATGGGCTTTGGGACAGAAAGGTGAGGAAGGGGGAGATTCCTAAGCATATCCGTGTAAAGTCTGTTTGGGGTTATGGATACGCATAGGGACCATCTTGCAGGCTTGGTTCTGGAAATATATCAACACTAATCCTTCTGTTTGTCTAAATTAAGGTGCCACTGGCATTGAAGATCGCCTGCAGGACGGTGTTCCAGACACAATACAGGCATTACGGAAAGCGGGAATAAAAATATGGATGCTGACGGGTGACAAGAGAGAAACAGCTGTCAACATTGCCTATGCTTGTAAACTGCTAGAGCCAGATGACAAAATCTTCACTCTCAAATCACAAAGTAGAGTGTGTAGAAAATTACGCTTTTTTTTCAATTTATGGGGAGGGTGTTTGATTTTTTCTGCCAAAAAAAAATGCAGTCAGACAATATTGCAGGACAATACAGAAAAATAATATATTTTCTGTTTTTCCATCTCACCAAAGATAGCATGATTTATTGGAAGATGGAAATATTAGAAAATTGACGGTTTGCTTATTTGTGGGTAAAATATAATTTATATATGTTTCCTTACATAGTCCATAAATGGCCATTAATTATCTTAACTGATTACTTAATTTCTGTTTGTGTTAGGTGAGAGAGTGACACACTTCAAATTTTATTAAACATTTCAGGTGGATGTAAGGTTGCAGCATATTAGCGATATAAGAGTTACTGTGATGCATATTGTATAAATTAAGTTTTCTGCTGCTTTGTCATACACCCCCTCAACCCCACTTAACTTGCATAAATGTACTAGGAATTGTCTCATTAAAATGCATTGCACAAAGTTTTCAAAAAGAATAATATGCCAACAATTTTATTAGAGAAAAAGCCACCTTCTTTTCACCACACAGTAGTTGCGCCACATGATAAAGAGTGGTTAAAAATGCTGTTGTTTTGGGAGGCAGCTTAATCCTACCTATGCCCTCTTTTGGATGCTTAAAACTACCAGGTTTTCAAAACTTAATTTTTATCAATTTTGGAATTCTTAAGAAAGAAATTGCAAACTCTAACTGGTAAAGTGGACATATGCCCACTGGTATGCCAACAGCTCAGAGCAGAGACATGAAATCTGGGATAGCTTTAAGGGACTGGAAGATTTTTAAGACCTTCTGCTTTTCTTTTTTCTTTACTTGCATGTTTCTTCCAAAATTTATTTGGTATCTGTCATGGGGGATGGTGTGGCACATGGGTAACTGTGGGAAAATAAATTGAAAAAGGAAGATATTTAGTCCAATTATGTTTGATAAAAGCTTTTTTTTCTTATTTCTGTTAGTATTTTCTCCCTTCCATTTTTCCTATTGGGCAAAGAGGATCTTACTTAACAACGTGAATTAGCTCCTCTTGCAGAAGTGCTTGTCTTCCCTCTAACTGGGCTTTGAAATAAAAAAACAGACAGGATTTGACACTGTTGCATTTCAAAGTAAGATAATGAGCAGACTTAAGAATATATATTTTTTTCTATATAGTACATGCATTACATATATTTATATAAAAAGTCTTTTGAGCATCTTATACTGCCAAGGTTGAAAAACAAAAAAATGTTTCACAAGGCCAGTTCAGTAATGCATTGCAGCTCGCCTATAAAATGATTTGAAATGCACTTTTGGCTTTACATACCAAACAAAAGAAATGAAGAGAGTAAAAGTCTTACCCAAAGCTGTATTTATATAACACAATCCTTAATGTTTGTTTGTTTCTGGTAGTCCTTGAACATTTTCTGATCCATCGTGAGTGTTTTCACTTCTCCTAATACAATAACCAAACCCAAGCAAAGTTAAATCATGGTCTGTTTTATTAATAACAGACTGCATCCTTTGTGATTTTAAAGGGTTGTTCAGCTTCATGTCTGAATCCTTCTGTTATTCAAATGAAATGCTACACAAGGACAGCAACTGACCTTTTCTCCATATGTGTTTCATAAATTGGAAAGGGAAACTGAATACAAACAGTAAGCTGTCTTTCTCTTGTCTTTAGGATGCTTGTGCTTTGGTGATGAACAAAATTTTAGAAGGCATCCAGAAGAATACTTCTGCCAAAAAAACAAAAAGTCAGAAACTTAGGAATGTCTCTGCAAGTCCCTCTACTCAAGCTGCTGGGTTCAGTGCAGGTCTGGTTATTGATGGAAAGACTTTAGAGCATGTCCTTCATGACAGCCTGCAGAATATTTTCTTGGAGCTTACAGAAAAATGTCGAGCTGTAGTCTGCTGCCAAGCCACACCACTGCAGAAGAGTGTCCTGGTCAGACTGGTGCGAAATAAGCTAAAGGCAATGACATTAGCTGTAGGTGAGTCCCATGGTTTCTTTTCTCTGAAAAAAAAACAACAAAAAAACAAAAACGTAGAAGCCATTTTCTTCTTTCCTTTATTTTCCTCAATATCTGTCACAAAATGTACTTGCAAGGAAGATAATCCTTTGAATAATAGTTTTCTCTGGCATAAGATGATGTTAGTCTTCTAAGCTAGCAAATTTAGTCCATAAACACACTCATAATAATCCAAAGCAACAAGGACAGCTGCCGTCATGTACAGTGATATGTCTGAAGGGGAAAGTGAGAGGATTTTCTCTGTTGTTCTTCATACAACCCCCAAAATAATGAGGGAAAGAGATGACTGGGTGTGATTTAAAACACACGTACTTTCTGCTCAAGCATACTGACTAAATTCTGACGAAAGGAGCAGCTAATATACCTTTGGAGAATATTGCTCAGCTCAGTCAGGCCTCCCATATACTAATCCTGTTCTCCATAGGGTTTTCTGTAGGCTGCATTATTAGCTACAAAAATGTTTTTCTCTGAACTCTTTGGTGTTCTGATATATTTGACTTTTCCTGCCACCTCCATGGCAATGTGGTAGCCAGCAGAGCTGCCTCTAGGTCGCATTCCAAGTGAGAGAGCTTAGTTGTGATTTCTCCCCTTTTCTTTTCTCTGTAGGTGATGGTGCCAATGATGTCAGTATGATCCAGGTGGCTGACACTGGTGTGGGAATCTTGGGCCAAGAAGGCATGCAGGTAGTGTATACAAAGACAGCTGCAAGTGACATCAGAATCCATTTTAAATCTGTTCAGCTTACTCTAGAGGCCCAGTGGCTTCACAGCCCATTACTGTATCCGGGGGGGGCACAGTTTGCATCCTGAGCTCACACCCATGCCTCTGCTCTCATCCGGAGCACACAGAAGCTGAGGCTGCAGGGGTTCAAACTCCAAACAGCAGAGCTTGCTGTTTGAACTCCCCATCATTCATTTCATGCCATGCCCAAGCATCAGTGATTTCTGTGAAGTTGTGTGGTAATAATAAAGACAGACAGCCTCATACGTGCACATGTTGTGTTGGGCTGAGCTGTGTGTGTTAGTGTAAAATGTGGTACAGAGGGTCTCAGATCTGAATGAGGCTAGGGCCATATGTATTATGTATAACAAATCACAAAATAAGAGTTTCCAGTAGTACATCAGTTGCTTGCTTGACAGTACTTGAAGTTCATCTTTAACTGTTTGGATGTAACATATCTTTTCCTTTATTTGTCTTACAGGCTGTGATGGCAAGTGACTTTGCAATCTCTCAGTTTAGACACCTCAGGAAGCTGCTGCTTGTACATGGTCACTGGTGTTATACCAGACTTACCAACATGGTGCTCTACTTCTTCTACAAGAATGTGGTATGTAGCTGTCCCATCCTAGGCAAATCAGTTTTCTTATTTGAAAGTGCTGCAGGGTCTAGTGTAGCTTCATATTATTTTTAAGTTTCTATTGTGAATGAGTTCAAAAAGACATAAAGAGCATGTGTCAAACAGTTTGGTTTCCCATTTACATCTGCAGAGACTAGACACTCCTATTCCTTGGACTGAGTTTTCCACTCAAAGCCATTGTCTAATTCAATTAAAAACTGGGTAACAGGCATTATTTCATGTAGTGGCAGCATGAATATTTAAACAAGCCATGTATCCAGTTTTTAAATGCAAAGATATGTTCTAGATGAATATAATTTCAAGTGTGGGATTGGCAGGGGCTCTATAGCAATTACACATATTTTTCCACAGATTATGGTAACCAAACCTATGATCTGCCTATTTTCCTCTTGTTTTTAAAACACTTGTCTCTATGGGTAATATTTATCATCTCATCATTAACTTTTCAGGCCTATGTGAACCTCTTGTTCTGGTACCAGTTCTTCTGTGGGTTTTCAGGCACATCAATGACTGACTATTGGATCTTGATTTTATTCAATCTCCTTTTTACATCGGTGCCACCCATCGTTTATGGTGTCTTGGACAAAGATGTGTCTGCAGAGATACTCATGCAGATCCCGCAGCTGTATGTGATGAGCCAGAAATCTGTGGTAGGTTAAAGAATGTTTGGCCTGAAGCAAGTTAAAATGGTCAGCATTTGAGCCATTTCTTTCTTTCCTTCATGGTTCACGTCAGGCAAACATGAAGTTTAAAACCACTTTCTTTGTTAGATCCAGACCTGTACAATGCATGCACAAACAAAAGCTGTTTTTTTCTGCTCTGTGCTTTCTCAGTCACAGACTTTTGACTAAGTAAATGTTACAAGGCCCCAAGATTTGGCCATTTATTTTGGTCTTTGGGATATATACAATGAGCTGAGCAGATGCTTTTGAGGCAACATAATCAGAGTTGCTTCATTACACAGTTGTTTTTCTCTCTGCCTTTTTTCTTTTTTTTTTTTTTTTTTAAGGTTTTATCAGCGCTTTCTCTCTTTTCTCCAGCTCAGCATTGTCCTGCCCTGTGGTTGGAGCTGTTAAGCAGTATATCATTTCTTTTCTTGAATGAAAATAACAGTGAAATAACTGCTTTGAATTAAGTGCAGTGTAAAAGAAGGAGAAATGCTTAAAAGATGTGTGTCATAATATTGCACCATCATATCTTAAGTGCACAGCTCTGTACAAGCTATAAAAGTGGGCAGTAACTTGGATTCATCTTCAGTGATTTAAAGCACTTCCCTGACATGGGCAAAAGAGAAGACTAGTTTTTCATGCCAAAGAGAAGGGTTGAGTGGCTTTTAATCTCTCTTTATTAATTGGAGAGGAAATCTTATGTGACTAGACTGCTCCCCAGTGTGCTTCAATGTAGTGCCTGAAGGAACGGTATATATCAGAGCCAGGGCAAATAAAGCTATAGTTTCATAAGCAGTTGAGCTGTCACAAGTTTGCTGCCACTGAGTAGGTGGAGTAGGCTTGTTCCTCCTCATTTTCTCCCATCTTTTCTTTCCTCTACCCATTTTCACCCATGTGGTTAAACTGCCTCCCTTGTGCCAGCTCTGTTGTTCATCAGATCCTTTGAGGAGTCAATTAAACACGCTAAACCAACAAAGTTTTTAGTGAGTTTACGGGCAGAAAAGCAAGTTGCTTTCTCACATTCTAGTAAGATTTGTTAGCTCACATTACAGTCTGGTAAGTACAGAGGAGTCAACCAGTAGAAACTAAGAGGCAGAAGCATATGTACAAAAAAGAAGGAAGTGGATTTGGAAGGAAAGTGGGACTTGGCATTCAGTGATAGTAAGTTGCAAGGATAGTTCATTGTCCCCTAGCTCTCTCCCTTCCCTATTACTCACTTAGGTTTGACTCCGGTAGGTCTGTTCTTGGAGAAACAGCTGTAAGATCAGAGTTCACAGGTCTAGCTGCTGATTTAAATCCTAGCGGTTAGCTACATATGCCGAGTGAGCTCTTTATTCTTATTATGGAATAAAAGTTGCCTCTTTGTTGGGAAACTGGAGTTATTCTGCAGATAATCGTTCTCTGAATCCAAATGAATTCTGAATAAAGCTGCAGCTATTTTTTTAAGTTTGTTCCAGTGACATTTTGTTGTTTTTTTTTTTTTTTTCTTACAGGCCTACTTGCCTTCAACTTTCTGGATAACCTTGCTGGACGCTTTTTACCAAAGTCTTGTTTGCTTTTTTGTGCCTTACTTCGTAAGTGCTGGATATGAAATACTCCTATATGCCTTGACATATTAAAAACTCAGGCAAATTAGAGAAAACAATGCAGTTTTTCATTGTACTTCATCATATATAAATTTGTACTATCAGGATTGTCATAGGAACTGAATTGAACCGTGTGCATGCAGATGTGTCTGGCATTTAAACTAATAATGCTGCTTTGCATATTAGGACTATAGGTAAAGAATGTATTTAACTGACTGTCATCTTCCCTTACAGACTTACTATGGCTCAGACATAGACATTTTTTCTTTCGGAAATCCTATAAACACAGCAGCTCTCTTCATAATATTGTTGCACCTTCTCATTGAGTGCAAGTCTGTGGTGAGTACTTTGTTTCCTGAAGAGTATATTCCTAACAGAGCGTGCCTACAGCTTTCATTAAAAATTATGGAAGAAAGAGCTTTCTGTATAAAGCTAAACAAGTAGAAAAGGGTTAAAAAGTAAGTATTTTGTTTATATGATCCTGTGAGCTCTCTTAAGCAAGCTGTCATTGGAGCAAACGGTATTACTTGTATGACTAAAATTAACAGAATTTGGTCTCGGAATTACTTGTAGCTAGTAAAGGATCCTGCCTTAATAGGATTCAGTGGGTTTGGGATGTCAGTTTGGTTTTGCAAATGGTAAAACCAACCAGTGATCTGCTTGAGCTTTCATAAGTTCCCAAAGCTTATTTCTAGTAGAATACAATGTCAGCTGTTGATTTGGAATGCTTTAAACTGATGGTCTGCTCTGGAGAAACATTATGTTATAAAAACAACACCTTTATTCATTTATTCGGAATATATGCATAGCATGAGTGTATCCATGCTCTGAATAGGAAAATATTACATAAATGTTTTTATTTGGCATTTTTCTATGTCATCAAACTGACAGACCAATGACAGTATTGTTTCCGTAGTAACTATTATAGCCATAACTCCAATGAAGAACAGTTAATCAGTGTTTCAAGTAAGATATTTTAGGGCTCATGTCATGTGAAGATCTGCCTCCATTTGCTTGAGAAGGATTTCTGTTCTGCCGGTGAATGAAGCGGTCGTATAAGGCAAATGGCATTATAAAGGCTTCTACAAATGCATCAAAAATTATGTTTTTAGTAGAATTAAAAAATCATAATTAAACAGCTGGTTACCTATTAACAGTAGGAATAAGGTTCAATTCTTCCTGGTAGTGTTTTGTATGGAATTGGGAATACTGTCTGAACAGATTGATCCTTTGTTACATTAATAACATGTCCTTGGAGGAGGAGTGCGTGTGCATGTTCATGCATGCATGTGCGTATAAGAGTTATGGCTCTTTCTGTTGACAACTTAAATCTGACTTATTTTCTTTTCTGAATTGCAGACGTGGATACATGCAGTAGTTATAGTTGGCAGCATCCTATTTTACTTTATCTTTGCTCTGGCTTTTGGGGCAACCTGCATAACACATAACCCACCATCAAATCCATATTGGATCATGGAAAGGCACATGACAGACCCAGTATTTTACCTCGTCTGCCTCCTGACTACTTGTGTTGCTCTGCTGCCCAGGTATGTTTCTGTTTTATAATCGCAGTTTCCTATTGCTAACAAATTAATTTTCATCAAGTCTTTGCGTACTATAAATCTCTGCCTAAAAGTCATCTTGTCCCCTCACAAAGCAAAGAAAATTTCATAGTTATACAAGAGAAAGTCAGGCGAGGACAGCTCTTTAATGACAAGTCATCAAAGTAAACTGCAGTAAATACAAACTCTTTCATGATTTAAATACTAACTATTGTGTTTGAGTAAAAAACAAAACAAAACAACAAACATGATTGCTGTAAAGATAGAGTTCATAATTTATAAACAAATCAGATACATTCAGGATCAAAGTTAAATATGCGCTATACATAGGCTGGGCTGTCTATGGTTATTTGTTAAACCATTTTCTGTTTGAAATTTATGTTATGAATATATATAAGAACATTTAGAATGACAAATACATGTGCAAGCTTCTTTGTGGGGTAGAAACACACTGACTAGATTCAGAGGGGGAACTGAGGTACATTTTTATCATGCCTAGCATGTTTTGCTTCACTGAAAAAGTCATGCCCTAGTTTTGATTACTCATTCAGCTTGGAAAGGCAGGAGCCTTTGGTGAAGCTCCCAGACACTGGCATGCTGAGCAGGTTCACACTTCATTCCAGCAAAAGGACAAGCCATGAGCTGCAAGAAATGTTGTGTGCTCTTCCCTCATCATCTTGCTCTGGCTTCAGGTGTTGACAGCAGAGCCTTTTCTTTCACACACAGATCTCCTTTACATGATAAATAAACAAGCAAGTGCTGTTCTAGGACCTTTTATAGAGCTGTAAACAGCCTAGATAGGAGAAAGGTTTTGGGTTGCTGACTGCTTCCAATTTACAAGTATTCCATTTTGAAGAGTGGCAATGTTTTTCATGACAAATTAAATGCAAAGATTTAGACTCAGCAGTAAGATTCTCTGAATTGCTTTCACTTTCCCTGTGCCAATATCCCAGAATATTTATAGCTGTTGTAGCTGATTCGAGTTCTTCTCAACTGATGATTTGATAGACTTGTAGCACAGAATGGCTGCTGTCACACGTACATTTTTTTCCTTGCTTATTTTCTGCTGTAATCTTTTGTAAGATGCTGAAAAGCCTTCACTTAGAACTATGAAGCTAGAGGGTGTTCTACACCTTCTCACCTAAGACTGGGACTTTTCACTGGAGTTTTTAAGGAGTAGTTTTCCTACAGAGAGACAGATGTTAAAGTCCTTGTTGAATCTGCAAACTCGCTACAAAAGGCTATGACTTAAACCTTTGCCCAACCTAAGCCACCAGGGAAGTTAGTTCCAATATGAACTAACCGTAGATTTTCCTTACAGAACATCATCGCTATACTGCTATTATATTGCTACTATATTGCTGTTACTGCATGTGATGCTTTATTTCTTTGGTCTTTGCCTTCTTGTTCTTTCTTGGTTCTGTTCAATTCTCTGGCTCCTGGAAAAATTTAGAAAGATGTAGAAAGGTGCTCTGACTACTGTCCCCAGCTTTCTAGGGCTGTATGAGTGCTGTATTATTAATGTGAACCAGCAGTGATAACATCATCTCAGTCTGAAACATGATTTTTCTAGGCCTGATATATTTCTCTCTATATTCGCACTGTTCGAGGGAAACTCTAAACTGAGCACTGACCTTGATGGCTTTTTTCGGGGGCCTGACTTTATCTGCAGAAATCTCCATTTTCAGTGTAACTGGGACCCTGGCTCTCACCAAAGTTGCAAATGCACATTGCTGCAGCGAGGCTGAGAGAGCTGGGAATGGTCAGCCTGGAGAAGAGAAGACTCCAGGGAGACATTATTGCAGCCTCCCAGTGCCTAAAGAGGATCTACAACAAAAGTGGGGAGGGACTCTTGGTCAGGGAGTAGAGTGATAGGACAAGGGGTTAGAGCTTTAAATTAAAAGAGGGTAGATGCAGATTGTGTGAAGAAATTCTTCACTCAGAGGGTGGTGAGGCACTGGAACAGGTTACCCAGAGAAGCTGTGGATGCCCCATCCCCGAAAGTGTTCAAGGCCAGATTGGATGGGGCTTTGGGAAACCTGATGATTAGTTGCAGGGGGGATGGAACTAGATGGCCTTTAAGGTCTGTTCCAATCCAAACCATTCTATGGTTCTATAAGTCTTTGTGCAGAACCAAAAAAAAAAATGGAAGCATCAGCCTTTGAAAATGCCAGTTTTTCTGGTGTGGTTTCTGACCTGATAATTTATGTTCACAAAATTGTACCAGCAAAAGCATGTTTTAGAGGCTGCTACAGCAGCCTCCTCTAGGTTTACATGAATGGTGTTTGGTTTTCTTTAGTGATCCTGGAAACAGTTTTGAGTCTGCTTCTAAACAGCTTATTTGAAACTGTGTTTATTTTGTAGATATTTGCTGAGAGTTCTCCAAGGAACGTTGTTTCCGTCTCCGGTGTTGAGAGCCAAGCACCTTGACAAACTGATCCCTGAGGAGCAGAGGGAAGCAATTAAGAGATGGAAAGATGATTGCGTTGTAAACTGTAGAATGGAATTCCAGGTTACTTCTGGGTCTTCCAGCTCAGCCACAGGTGCTGTATCAGAGGAAGAAAGCATTGCCAATGTTTTGCCAACTTCTAAAACACCTTTTCAGGCCTGTTCAAGAGGGAGGTTAGTGGAGGAAGTCTCCTTATCAGACATTCAGAATGAGTCTGGGACTGCAAACAACCAGAGCTCTGAAAGGACTGTATTTCTGAATTCATCAAAGGAAACTAATTCAGACTCTTATGGAAGTAGTAACTGCTGTGCTGAAGTCTCTCGGAATACTTCTGAAGAGGACAAAAGTGTCATTTCTCTAGCAGATTTGAACACAAAGCAGGTTTGAATTGTTTTGTGTGCACAAGCTGGTTTAATGTAATTTACGGAGTTGGAATGTGAACTATTGAAAATCCAAGAATAATAACTGCTGATGTATGCTACGTTGCGGTTTTGTTTTCTTCAGCCAAGGAAGATGATGCACCCATTTGCTTAAAAGCTTTTGTGTTTATAAAACTTTTCAGTAATTTATTAAGACATTCAAGGCCTAAATGGCTGAGTTTTGTTATTTTTTTATGTAGTAGACTTTTCATACTGCTTCTGTTGCATAATGCCTCTTGGTGTTATAGAGAGGACATTGTATGAATTACAGATCTGTGGGATCTAGTTCAGGTAAGATTCACTCTATAATAAGCCATGTTGGTCCCTTGCATTGCTGTCTTAAAATTGTCATGTTGCCTGGGATTCGTGGCATGCTGAAGTATGCAGTAAGCAGAAAGCCTGGGATGCAGTGTTTTTAGTTGGTTTGTTGCAAGACTTCTCAGTGTTTGTATATAGCAATTGTTTTAACCGTTGTCAGCCAGCTCCTCCACCTTCTATTGCTAAAACCATCTCACTGCTGTCCAAACTCAACTTAAACCATCAGGAAAGTGTCCCGGATGAGACACGCAGCTCCCTCACCTTTCTCTCCCACAAGAGGAGAAAATTTGTGTGCAGCTTTTTATTCTCCATGGTAGTTCATCCTCTTGCTTCATCCTTTCTCTTTGTCTCCATGTTCCCTTTCATGTCTTTCACGCTGACTGGACTTCTTTCCCTCTTCACCCAACTTGTATGTTATTTGCCTCAGTTTTCTCTAGACTCTACCTCATGCCTGCACTGGAAAATCATCTGCAAGTGGCAATGGGTAGCTCCCATGTGTCCACAGACAGTGCAACTTGTAGCTGATGACATTTCTCTTCTTGACTCTCAGGTGTTTTTACATTCCTCCAGACTTTTATAATAAACAACAGTAAGTATCTACAAAGGCTGTTCAAAAGTATAGCCATTTGTGAGCCCCACATTTTCCCACTGCTCTGCAAGCTGCACAAAAGCTAGCTGAGATGTGTGTGGCTTATTTCTGGAGTTCTGGCTGTCAAAAATATTGCCTCCTTTTTATTTCTCTGCCCAAAAATGTACGTGGCCAATTTATGGAGGAATTTAAGAAATTGTTTGTATCCATTAGCACCTGTTGAAATAAACTATTTCCTCAAACTTCAGCAGTTAATGAATTATTATTACTGATCCCATTTTTTGTTATGTTTCTTTCTAAAACTTTGAGCTTTCAAACTGCTAAGATTTGTCTGTTTATTTTTAAACACCATGTTTGGGGCAAGGGCTCTGCTTTTTAATTGAACCATGAGTTTTCCATGCCAATGATCAACATTACATATTCCACATCTTCTAAGATCTCTGAAAGAATTTAAACAAACGCTGTGAGGTCTAGGACAGCTGCTGCTACGTAGGGCAGATATTGAGGGCATGCTAAGTTCATTCAAACACAGGTCACCACATGTTGCCAAAAGTTTGAAACGGTTTTGTTTTCAAAAGGTAGAATGTAATTCGTGCTGACTCCATCCTTACTGCTAGTGAGGAGAAAAATATCTTTTTGTTTAGCCTGTAGAAGAAGACCAGTGGAAGGAGCCAGTGATGACGGGCATTTTTGCAAATATTTTTTTTACTTTGATTCAACATATGACAAAATAATTTTTGATAAGTTCTAACATATGTTTAATGTGCACATTTGAAGTGAAAGTAGACATTCAAATTCGGAGACATCATGTCCAGCCTAAGTTGGTTCACAGTTATGATTTCTAGGTGTTTGCCTGTCGTACACTTGCTTGTTACACTTGTATTTTTTGCAGTTGGGGAGTATCATTTACAGGACCAGATCTGGAAAGACTTGAGGAGAAGAGAGAGGGACATAACAGCTGGGGTTAACTTGCCAGGAGTGGACTCCAGGCGTCCTGACTGAAACATTTCAGCTTTCTCTGCAAACCACAGGAACCGTGAGGTATCCTAAAAGATGCAAGGCAGCCAGCAGGTTGTGCAGGGAGATGAGCTGGTACAAGGACAGAATCACACAGCAGTGGACTTACTGGGACATAGTGACAGAGTGACCTGCTGTGCTCCCAACAGAACTACAGGGCAGGCTCAGATCTACCCATGTCATTCCTAGCACAGGTTTTCATGTTGAAAAGATCTCCAGTGCTTTCCTGCCCTGGAAGTCAAATATTAGTGTTTCCAGTATCTTTCTTCTGCACCTTAAATCTATTTCCTCTCTTCACTTGTGTGACAAAAAGAGGTGGTTATCATCTCATTGCAATGAGTGATCTCAGTGATGCAAGACTGTTTCCACCATTTCATTCAGTCATTTTTTTTTCATCGCTTTGGATTGTAGCCCTCTTGTTCCTTCAGTTGTAGTGCTAGCTGAGAGGATCTAGAAGAGAGCATGTTCTCTGAACTATGATATCCTGACCTGCTCACTGTCAGCAAAGCGACACTGAGTCCAAACCGCAGCAGACAGGTTTTGGCAGCTAAGTTTCAAGCAAGTTAGATATTTGAGAGGCAAAGTCTTGGATTTTAGCACCCAACAGAATGGTGAAATGTGCATTAGTGGTGAAGAGGTTGTGTGGTTGTGTGCTTTTGAGGAATCAGTAAAGGGACTAAGGTACATTGCGCTCTCATGGGTGAGCTCTGGGACTCTGTGGTGACTTAGAGGCATGCTGGGCTCAGCGCTCTCCCCTTCCTGTCACTGTAGAAGGGAGTTGGGCGACAGGATTGGACTGAACTACCCAAAAGTGCTAGACCCTGTGGATCGCCTTGGAATTTCAGGTACTCTTAAAAACTTCCTCTCTATCAATGATACCACTGATGGTGAGTACTTTTTATACCAGTCAAAGTGGTACAAAATAACACACACACAGCATTTGATTTCTTTTTTTTGTGGTGTTTTTTTTTCACTGATGGTGCACATAGCTTAAAATTCTTCTCTATAACCTAGGCTATATGCTTTCAGAGGACTTTGACAAGCCATGCGAATGCTAAAAATACATTGTGTAAAACCTGATCTTTTTTTTTTTTTCTATCCTTTGGAGAACAAACAGCAGAAAAATATAGTGGCTGTCTGCTGTGATCACTTGCTATTTTTTACTGAATGGGGGATGAGGGTAGTGAGTCTTTAATAAAAGCTTCAAAATTTTAATTGGCCATATCTAAAGTGGTGCCAAATTAAGGGTCAAATGAAAAGTTCTCCCCTTGCTTCTCAACAGTTGAATGTTGTTGGGTTTTTTTTGCACTGGAGATGTCAGGATCCTCTGCTTGCTTCTGCAATCCTGCACTTAGGCACAACATGACCTGACTTTTCCATTTGGAAAACAAGCTTTTTAAGATTCTCTCACAGGTGTCTTGCAGATGTCGTAAAGGAAAACACAGTGTCTAAAGTGTTGGTTGTCAGATTTAAAAAAAAAACAAAACAAAAACAAAACAAAAAAAACCTTCAGGCTCCCATCCCAACTTTGTACCTATGCTTACAGCAGCTTTAACTCACAGGTTGGTGTGCAATATTTGATCCACAGAAAAACACTTTTTTTTTTTTTTTTTTTTTAATTTCTACAGCAGCATGTGCACTAACCATGTGCAGGTGCCTTTATTTAGCAAGTGTTTTTGTAGCTCAGCGAGCTCTGGCCCATACATGGGGCACAGTTTGAGCTGAATGGCTGACCTAGGCTGTGGTTTTTCCTTCAGTGCTGCTGGCTGCAGCACAGGGCCACAGAGGAGCTAACACAGAGCACCTGCTGCTCCTGCCAGCCCTGGGTCTGCTGCTGGTCTGAGCAGCACTTGCTCTCAGCAGGAGTTAATGATCAAGTTCTGGAGGTGACTGTTCCTATAGCTGATTTTCAGTGCGGTCTTTGTATGAATAGCTTTTGTTTTATCCTGGTTATTTTACTCCCATCCTCATCGTTCTGCGTACCTTACTGCTGACTGCAGTTAAAAGCCAAATTCTAACTCTTTCATGTTGCTGCATGCTAATATTTTTATTTCAGCGTGTGCACATGTTGAAGTACAGTGTACTGGTTATAAGGAGATAGATAGATATTTATTTGAAACTAACTGTGTTCCTGAGGAAAGCTGTAGAACAAAATGTGTTCAGAGAAATCTGATTTCAGTGGTTTTCAGATGTTTTGGTCTTGAATAGTTGTTGGCGGTGGTGTTCTTGGTAATGTTCTATACTGGAAGCAGACATGCAGAAGAAGCCAGAAGTTGTACAGTGGTTGTAGTACCAAAATCCTCCCCAAGTGCAGTAATGCTTAAAAAGCTAGATAAGGGTATGCGAGTACCATTTCAAAGCTGTTGTTAGGCATTATTGCTAAAGCTATAACTTTATCATGAATCTTTTCACACCTCCCTATTGTCATCAAGTCTCTGTAAAGATTAAGACACATTTTGAACAGAGAAGTTACTTGGAAAATGACTGTAAATTTTTATTAGTACAGTTAGAGAGAAACACATCTGTTTGACTGCGTGGCATTGCTTCCATTTGGACATACAGCTGTGGTAGAAGTAAAACCAACAAACGTGTTACCTTGCAGTGAGGCTACACTTGTAAGAGACGCAGCATAATTGTGATCACAACCATTATGTCAGCACACGAGGGAAGGCTTGATACAGTGGAAGGAGGAATATATTTGCCATTTCATGTGCACACATAGAAAAAAAGCAGTATAAAAATACATTTATAAAATTACAAATTTCCTCTTTACATGGAATGTTGTGGCAGATACAGTTGTGGGGAAGGAAAAGACCCTGCTAAGACCCTGCTGCTCCCTCCTAAAAGCCACTGGGCTGGGATAATATTAGGGTAATATTTTCTGAGCGATTCAGGACAGGGCTGGAGCGTGCGTGTAAGCAGGACTCCCTCTTGTTTCCCAGGAGGAGGGGCTGCTTGGAAACTGGTGGCCAAACCTAGTTAATTAAAATGCACAATTACTTTACCTATTATCATTTGGCAGTGCCAATGCCCATACCTACTCCAGTCCTTGGCAGAATTCCAAGCAGGTAGCTGCTTCACCTGGTGAAGGGCTGCCAGGTGGGGCTGCTCGTTTCACAGAACAGATCCTGGCTTTTAGCCCCATAAGGCAGACCTGGCTGAAATCTGTTGCAACAGATCCTGGCCCCAGAGAAAACCTAAAGTGGGGGACCGAGAGCTGCCATTTACATGCCCTTGAAACAAGGGCATCAGTAACCTGCTCCATATGCAGCCTACCTGCACAGGAAAAACCTGGCCACAGCTGCTTTCTCTCTGGGGAAAGCATTTATATGTTACAGTAAAAGCAAAATCCGTAATAGAGAGAGAAAAGAAAATTAACACCTAGGAAAGTTTTCTTTCTGAGCATGAAACAGTGATACCATAGTCATTTAAATTGTTTCAGAACCCATACCATAAATACTGAGTATTTTTTAATAGAGCTCTACAGAGTGCTGTCTATAGGCATGTTAAAGGAAAAGATAGGGAAATAAGAGGTAAAAATTTCACCAAAGCAATAGTCGGGTTAGTTGTAACGTGATTAATAGTACCTGAAGTGTCCATTAGTTGGCTCTTCTGATGCATGTTTCCACACACGGCAGTCCTGGTATTTATTGAGAAGGCCCTGCCATGCTGTCATGGGGGCGTGCCAGAGGTAGCAGCGAGGGTAATTACGTGTCTCAGGCTGAGTTCACAGGGGGCTAGGCACAGCACTGAAAACACCCAGCTTTTAGACACCTTGCTCCCCAGTGAAATTCATCCTGTAAGCCTCAGCTTTCTGACTCCTCCTACTCTGGCCTCCCAGACTAACATGAGCTGTACAGAGCATCACCTGCAGCAACTGTAAGAATCACCACCCCTCCAGCACCAGAAAGAGGTGCCAAGCTCCACTGTAGGTTTTTTTTTTCCAGACTCCTGGAGTCAAGGCTTAGCTTTTTGCCTGCTAGGCAGAGCACTTGCCATCAAGCACCCAAGCCTTTGCTGATGAAGCTATTGTACTCTGCTTACCATATTCCTAATACTTAATTGAGCAGAAGCTGGGATCCAAGTCTTTTGTCATTCAGATTTCTTCTTGCCTTTTTCAAGATAGTTTAATCTTGCTCAGCAAAATGAAACTTTCAGTGGAAGATACTAGAAGAAGAGACCTATCCAAAAATACCCAGTTTCCCAATATTATTTCCCAGTATTTGCTCA